GAACTTTCTTAAAATTGTTTACTTTTGTATCAAAGCTAAATTTGAACCATCTGTAATAAATTATATATATATTTCGTACGATATCTTCAGTATTACAGTTTTATACTGAAAACGGCCATCATAAAATATTCTCATGTTTATTTTATGAATTGCAGCCGTTTGGTTTTTTTTTAACCAGAAAATTAGTAATGTATGGAATACCGAAAATTAATTTTAAGTTGTCACATTTTAATCAGTTTGACTTCACACTTTTGAAGTCGTACATTTGACGTCATAAATGCATTTTCGAATTGTACATTTGACAACCAAAAATGAGTTTCTGAAATGTGCATCTGTTAAAAATGTTATGTTCCAAATATAGATCACATTTGACGTCAAAATGTATATTAGAATTATGAGGTTACATTTGACGTCAAGAAAGTACAAGGCCCAAAGGTCTAAAATTCACATCGTTCAACACGTCTTTGAGAGCAAAATAATCGCAGGGGATGTTGTGGTTTAAGATTCGCTACCTGGAACAAAAAATTCCAAGTAGCACGGGCTATGGTGAGCCCGTAGAATCGCAGGGAATGAAAACCACTAATCTGAAGCGACTGTGCAACGACTCTAGCAACAGCACAAGAGTGTTGCACACGCAGTGTTGTACACGCAGCTGCCCAGGAACTGTACTGCTCAATTTCAATAACAATTTCAATAAGTACACGAGGAAATCAGAATAACGTAATATATCAAGGAGAACATCTTTGGAGCAGGGCGGTGGGATTGAACCTGTGACCGGGGCGTTATGTGAGGGGTCGCGCTTGTAAGTTACGATCCGGAACCCAAGAAATGTTTCTAAGGAACAAAAAAATAAACCTTAGAAACGGAAGAAACAACATACAAAAAATCAGACAAAATAACTTGTAGAAGGCCTATTGAACTATAGTAAGCAGCTCCTATATATAATATATATATATATATATATATATATATATATATATATATATATATATATATATATATATATATCTCCAAAGTCATTGACATCTATGTCTAACCTAAGCATGAAACAATCTAGCAATTCCGCATCTCTTTGTTACCAGTATATTTCGCCCGTAAATCAACAAACCTTGCCCCAAACCAGTATTTACCCAGGTCTTTCCGAAATCCAAACGTCACCTATTTATATATATCTAAGTTTCGAGTTCTGCTACTCCTAATATTACCTCTACTGCTCCAACTACCACCGCTAATAAAGAATAAGAGTAATAAAAATAATATATAATCACTAGAGACCCGAGGATAATTACGTGAGTGTTGCTTGAAGAATTATCTAGTTGAGAACAGTAAACATAGTTCTAGATTACATAATTATTGTCTTGCTTGATAATGTAATTCCAGGTCATTTTCTTTCTTGAAATTTTCCCCTTAAACTGGATCTGCAGAAATTTATATTATATATATATATATATATATATATATAATATATATATATATATATATATATATATATATATTATATTCACCAGAGACAACTCACACGTTTCTGTGGGCCGTGCAAGAGAGGCATGATCGTTATCGATATAAATATCTGTTAAGCGCTTCATGTATTGTCAACACTGAGACGAACAGACTAGTAAAACAGGAGAGAGAGAGAGAGAGAGAGAGAGCGAATGGAGAGAGAGAGAGAGAGAGAGAGAGAGGATTGAGAGAGGAGAGAGAGAAGAGAGAGAGGAGAGACAGAGAGACAGACAGACAGACAGACAGCGACAGACAGAGAGAGAAGAGAGAGAGAGAGAGAGAGGAGAGGAGAGAGAGAGAGAGAGAGAGAGGAGAAGAGAGAGAGTGGGTACAGTTTTATCCAACTCTTCAAGAAACAAAACAAAATAGCACAAATAAAAGGCAATTAGAAAAGACTATTTCTCTACTATCACCTTCAACGTCAAAGACAAACGCTTAGATAATCCCCTCCCAGGTCTATACCCCCCCCCCTTTGTTTACACTTCCTCAACCACTCTCGTGTCACGAGGCCCTCAGAATAGCTAGAAGCATCATACTCCTCACACTTCAAATCATCACCCCTCACACACACCTGAGTGCAGGACACTCACACTCCCCTCTCTTTCTCACACACTCAAAATGAACTGACATAAACAAAACAAAAACACTGAGGCAATAACCAAGGCTCACAACCCAAGAAGCAGCCAACAAAAGCGAATCTCACAGAAAAAATACTCACACGAACAGGCAAACGTCACGCATGCGCGTACAGGGACACGCATGCGCCGTGTCCCGCATGCGCAGACTCACCGCGCACCTCCGCTAGGCTGCTGGCTAACACTTACCTGTAATAAAGAGGAAACAAATATTAATACATATAATTTAACATCGTTGTAGCGGAAAATACATATCAATACACAAGTATCACAATTCTAGAGATCTTAAGTCCAAACACCGCAAATACACACACGAATTAAATACAAAAATAAGCTCGTGGAAGCTTTAAATACCACAGCTTATTTTGTGAACGTTATAAACCATACAACTAAAACATTAATTACCAACAATTGACCAACAAACGAGCTAACACAAATTTATGACCAAAGAAAAATCAATTAGTTTTGTTTTCGACAAAAAATAATGTTATCCTCCTTCCATTCGAGAACTAATATCAACACTGCTCAAACGTACAAAAACTGACTGTTGGTCCACAAAAGTCCCCACCTCTTGTACTCTTTGAATTAGCTCAAGTGACACTAAGAATTGGACAGGTAAATAAAAAGCCTAACCTGACCTGTCCAAGGAATCCTAGGCCTAATTTATCATTGTCTTAAGCCTAATATAGGACATATATATGTGCTATATACTAGGCTTAGAGTTTTTACATTTGGCTTCTGGCTTAATTTTATCGTACCCTCGACAAATTTTATAGTATAAAACCTGAAAAGTGCTGGCTACAACAGTCCATTTGTGTACGTTGGACCAAACTGTAGCTATAAGGCCTATTTTGTTGAGGAGG